CACCGCAGCCCTGCCCCCTCGGGCGCGGCCGCTCACCATGCACATGAAGATGTCGCTCTCGGCGCTCAGGCCGTGGCCCCACGCCAGCTTGCTGAACAGCTGCTTCCGGAACTCCCACTTGAGCAGGATGGCGCAGCGCAGGAAGGTGGACTTGGTCTTCTGCGGGCGCCACAGACGGTCACCTCCCCATCTCCGCCCCCCCAGGCCCCCCTGGGGAGGCCCCAGGTCAGAGGCGCCTCACAGAGGGGTGACCCAGGGGATCTGGGGGCCACCCAGACCTCTGCGGGAGTTAACAGGGCGCCTCTCCCTGGGCAGGCGGGGGCCCTGCAACGGGGCGAGGTGTGCACCCAGCCCCCTAGGGGGAGGTTCATGAGGCTGACTACGTGCAGGGGGAGGTTCACGGGTCCTGGATGGGGAGGGGGGAGGAGAGAGGAAGCCGCCACCTGGGTGAGTCCTGCCAGCTCTCCCCCTGCCGCTGCCTGGAGGCCAGGCCCCGCGGCCTCTCCGGGTCTGCGGCCTCGCCCTGCCCTGCACCCCCTGAGGCCATGTCCTCCTGAGCTGTCCCCCCCCCTTCCCCCGTCTGGTCCAGGCCACCCCGGGACCGTCTGGAGGAGGCTGCCCAGCCGGAGGCCCCGCTGGCCACTCACCATGACCACTTGGGGGCAGGTGTCCGCCAGGTGGAAGAGCAGCGGCACCAGGGACTGGAAGGCGTGGCCCTTGAGCGCCTGCTGGTACTTCCTGCCGCCGCTGTAGATGACGTCCCCGTAGAGCAGGATGGCCCCTCCGCGCACCTCCTCCTGCTCCTGGACGGAGAGGCCTCGGCTCAGCCCCGCCCGGCCGCCGCCCCATCGCTCCCCTCCCTTTCTGGCCCAGTGACCTCACGTCGCCCTGGTCATCTCCCTCCTCCCGGACCCGGGCAGGCCACGATGGGGTAACAGCACAGACCCTTTTGCCACGTGTGTCGCTTTCTAGCTCTGTGAGCCTGGGCAAGCCCCCCGCCCCGTGTGACTCAGTTTCCTCTTTTGTATAGAGGGGTCAACAGGAGTGCCTCTGTCCCCGGGTCGGCGAGGACTGCGTGTGGCTGTCCTGCTGCTCCCGACCCCTCCCGCTCCCCGTCCCCACGACCAGCCAGCCATCCCCGAGGTCCGCCCCGAAGCCTGCCTTGATTTTAGCCTCTGCACCCTGATGCCCTCGGAACCCCTGACATCACGCACCCAGCCCCTGCCTTGCCACCACCCGCTGCCTCCCCACTTTCCACACGGCCGCCCGAGGGTCTTTAAAGACAAGCAGCTGGCCTGTCCTCTAGCTGACCCGGCCACCACCCGGCCCGACGAGGGGACAGGGCTTGGGAATGAATGGCGTGGACCGGCCCAGAGCCCTCATGGAACCTTCCTCCCCGGGGGCCAGGTTCCCACCGGTGCCTTTTCCACCGGGGACTTTACCCACAATCCCCGAGTGGGGGTGGGTGGGGGCTGGGCGGCAGCTCTGGCTGCTCTGATTGGCGGGCTGGGCGAGCTGCTGCGCAGGCGCAGGCGC